TGTAGTCTCTGGATACACCGTGGCTATACTCATGCCCTTACTTGCTTTGCAAGATATTGGTGTGGGCACAACTGGTGGGATTTGGAAGATGACAACGCCAGCAGTCTTGAAGGAGGCTTTGGTGGAGCCTCTCTTTGGTGGAGCATCTGGTTATTTTTGACAGCTATTCGACACCTCCTTTTAGGGAACGTTTTTTGGGTGGGTGGGTGGGTGGGAACAGTTCTCACACAATTAAAAACAAACAAGTTGATGCCACATTTGGCTGCTACCAAAACATGGATCAAATGGAAACTTCCCACTCCACCCAAAAGAGAGCCACTTGCAGGCATGTACACTGAGCAGGTGGGAGAGAGATGGAAGAATTTAAATATTGATTGGACTACAAGTAGAAATTGCATTAAACACCCAGCAATTGCTGGAATTCTGTTGTAATGGCTTCTTGGTCTTTCCATAGTAAGTCTCATGTTCTCGTACTTTTGGGTGCTTGTTTATCTGTTCTAGTCCAGCTCACTGGGAAGAAGTTTATCAAGGATTTGTTGAAGAGCAGTCTAGAAGAAGCAGATTATTTGAATGTATTTCAGTTAAAGTTAAGTTTTGAGCATAGGACAGAGATGGAGTTGGCCACTCAAACTGATGATTTTATTGAGATTTGCACAGAAGTTGTGCATCCTTTAGACTTTTCTGTGGCCTTTAGGAACCTTAATTATGGGGACTAGAAGCACTGTTTATAATGGTACTGTTTCTTCCTCAGTTCCAGTTGGTTGACATTAAGAGAACAGTTTGGGTCAATAATCATGGGGTGGCACAAGATTTAGTATTCTCCAGTCTGACTTTTAGCTTCTAGATAAAGCTGCTGGAAAAGGTAATCAGGGATGAGATATTAATATGCAGTTGGTACTTAATTGTGCATTACCACCCTGAAATGCCACTGAAGTCTTGTCCTGATGTCTGGAGGTATTGGGGTTCTGCCTAGAATAAAACAGAAGGTTAAAGATGAATTCACTTGTGAAGTTGCTGTTTGTTCACTGAGGTTCTCTGTTGGTTCCAGTGTTTTCCTGGGGGGAGCACTATGCTTGAAGGAGATGATCTGTAACATGGAATCCTCCTGGACTCATGGCTGCTGCTGGAGATGGGCAGATGTAGTTAGCTGTGGTTAGGAGGGCCTTTGTCTAGCTTCATTTAGTATGTCAATCGTAACCTTAACTAGAGTGTGGCCATAATGGAGACTCAGGCCCTCGTTAGTGGTTGCTTGGAATACGCCAATGTGACCCACATGGATTGCTTTTGTGGACCACTCAGTAACTGCAATTAGTTTGAAACACAGTGGTCCATTTGCTGTCGGTGATTTTTTTTTTTTTTTTGCCATGAGTATATTATACCTGTAGGACAAACTGTTGGTTTTAACCTACTATATTGTAAAATATTTTAATAGTTTGCCAATTTGGTATCTTGCAAAACCATTTTCTCCAACTAGAATTGACCCATCTAATACATCTATCCTGGGGGAAATATGTTGATAGCATCCTCTATTTGTGAGGTGAAGCCCAGGAGACACTTCTTAGTAATTGTACAAGTAGTCTGTATTATTCTAGATTAATTCTGTATGTGGTAGCTTTCCATAAATTAATGAAAGTAGAGCTTTTCTAGACTGTTGTTTATGACTTGATTACTGTTTCTTTCCTCGTTTTCTCTCTCTCTCTCTCTCTCTCTCTCTCTCTGTGTGTGTGTGTGTGTGTGTATGTATGTATGTATGTATGTATGTATGTATGTATGTTATTCAGCTTTGTTCGGGTATTTTCCCACGTCATTATAGTTGTGCTTTTAAAGTTGTAGCAACGTTTTGGCAGAATCTCATCTGCCATCATCAGGCTTCTGTATTGTGTTCGTCTGTGAGTCAGACTTTTACAGTTGTTTCAGTTTGTCTGACTGAAAACAAATATATATATAAAATATATATATTTGTTTTTGTAGATTTTCACGGGTACAGGTATGCAGGTCTTGGCGTGTTTGGGTCTTTCCTGTATAAGATTGAGAGCCTCTTGGCAATGTTTCGACGGGGTCCCACTCGCCATCTTCAGGCTGGTGCTTTCGGCTTCATGTTTGGGCGAGCAAAGTGTGATCAGAGCTGCCGTCTCCCTGTATATACTCCCCACCAGTATATGTAGGGAGACGGCAGTTCCGATCACGCTTTGCTCGCCCAAACACGAAGCCGAAAGCACCAACCTGAAGATGGCGAGTGGGACCTCATCAAAATGTTGCCAAGATGCTCTCAATCTTACACAGGAGAAGACCCGAACACGCCAAGACCTGCATACACACACACACACACACACACACTTATTTACTGTGGATATTTTATTGTTTTGTCTGTTTTTTGCTGTGATGCTAATAGCTGTGAGTCTTTAGAAATTATTACACACGCATGCAAAACCAATATTTTCAGGTGCTGTTTTATCTTGACACCTTTGGGAGCAGAAGCCTATCAGCAATATGAAGCTTCCTTCTATTCTTTTTCCTCAGTGCACTGTTTTCTAGGATTCTGTTCTTGTCATGGGGCACAGATACAAAAAATACCTTTTGGGCAAATCATTGTATGAGTGGACTAGAGCTAAAAATGCACAGAAGGATTTTTTTTTTGTTTTTAAAGTCCAAAGTCCCTTGATCTAGAGCAGAACAAACCCACCGCATGGCCTCTGTAATGTGCCAGCATTCCATTGTTCTTTTCAGCCTTGGAGGATGTGGTGCGGATCTTGCTGAGCTGTACCACTTTTCACTGCAGGTGGGGGATCTTAAGTGGGAGGAACAATCTGTGTTAAGAGAGAGGGAGGGAGGGAGGGAGGGAGAGAGAGAGAGAGAGAGAGAGAGAGAGAAAAGAAAAAGAAAGAAAGAAAGAAAGAAAGAGAGAGAGAGAGAGAGAGAGAGGAGAAAGAAAAGAAAGAAAGAAAGAAAGAAAGAGAGAGAGAGAGAGAGAGAGAGAGAGAGAGAGAGAGAGAGAGAAACCCTCTGTTTCCTGCCTGGTGATACAAATACGTGAGATTCCCCAAACATGACAGTCTCTGGTGTGAAGAAACGTTGCCTGTGTGTTTTAAAGGTGTGTGTGATCATTTTCAGATCTACAGTCCATCGCTTGCGCTCAGAATGGTAGAATACAGATAAAATTAAATACTACCGTTGTTCTTGCCTGGGATGGACTGGGGAGGGTGCGGTGTGCTTGCGCCCTGAGGGGGTGTTTTCTTTCGGCTCACCCCAACTAGGTATCTGAGGCAAGGAAAAGAAAGAATTGGCGAACATCCTGGGATGTCTGTGTTTTATTCTGTGTTCTCTGCCTCTTTACTTCATCTGACAAGCTCCATATATTTGTTCAGTTCTTCCATCTTTCTGTTTTCAGTGAGCTTCTGCCTCCAGCGCAGGTCCTCTGCTCCTGGCTGGCAGCATTTTCTGCTGAAGCGCAGGTAGCATCTTTCTCTCTTCTTCCTGGATCATCTGCTGGAAAAGGCTGACTCCAGGGCTGAGGTGGCTTCCTCTGCGATTCATCACACAAACTAAACTGCCACTTGATTTTTTTCACCTCTTCCCTGCCATAGAGCTCCCTGCGGTAGTATTTGGCCTTGAAATGTCCCTGTAAGCTCTGCACCGATAATTTATTTTCTATTCAATGATCTACGGATAAGCCCTGATGTCCTTTTGCAAGCACAAGACCTGGACATCTGGGGAAATCTAATATGGTCCTATTTACCCAGTTGGTTTGGGATGGGCATATTATGTTCCCATTGAAACATCCCTGACTAGAGTTGTGTGTGAAAACAGCTCGAAGCTAGCGTTGGTACCCAAGCATCCCCCACATTCCCCACCTCCATCCTTCCAACATACTTTATCAGATATTCCAAAAAGCATGTAATCATCAGAGAGATGAGGACAGGAAGAGCTGGGCTGGCTAATTTTCTTAAAATGTTAAAGAATTTACTTCAGTGTCATTCAGAAAAAATGGAGTGTTCTGGGGATGCTTTCAAGCAAAGTTTGGTTGTTGTTGTTGTTTAAAAGAAAAGCTGCCTCCTGACAGCTACACTAGACACACAGCTTAAGTGTATGTTGCCAACTCCAAAACAGTTCTGGCACTGAAACAATTTTGTCTCAAATGCCTTCAGTCAGAGGTCCCGGATGACATTCTGTGCCTTGTTTTGATCAGGATCTTCAATTCTGCTAACTCTCCTGGGTGGTATAGTCCTACTGGGAGCCTTACCAGAATTTGCTCTTATATAACATTAATACCAGGCATTGTTTCTATACCATTATTTAATGATTCGGGAACTGCCCCAACAACGATTACCTCAACAACTGCCACAACAGAACAACTATTTCATCGAGGTTTTCTTTGTAAGCATGCAGACACACAGCTCCTCCTGCAGCCTTTGACTCAATCTTGACTGGCCTGGAGGAACGTGGTGGGCTTGGAGGAGAGTGGACTGTTGTTTCCCATGTCTCTTTTTTAGGAAGGGAAACTATTCAGAGGAATAAATGTTCTTTCTTCTGGGCGTGTTTGGAAACAACAGCCCCTGTCCTCCGTGCTCTCTACAGTAGCTCTTTAAGCCTTCTTTTGAGGCTAGTTAAATTGGATTTTTCTTTGGCCCTGTGGAAGGCAAAAGAGAGAGAGAGGCCACCTTTCCGCCTAAGTTGGAAGAATACTTTTCTTCTCAGCCAGCTTTGGGCTTTCTGGGCTCAGGACCGACACTTGATGCTTAGTTTCATGAACTCCCCTTCCTTTAACTCCACCCTGTGTTGGGAAACCAAACCAGCCAATAGGGGTCACTGCTACACAGAGAACTCGGCCTATGGCCTCCTTGCCCTGGTTTTAATTCTTGCCTGGGGAGGGGGAAAGGGGCCTCCAAGCCCAAGAATTTAGTTTGGGTTCTCTCCTCTGTTAAATGTATGCGAAGGGCCAGCCGCTGCTTGGATATAAGGTAAAAGGCCCGGTTATTTGGAACTAATTGCTTATTTTGTAGCCAGGTCTCCATACCAGATCTGCCTTCTGCACCAGCCTTGACAGTGGAGCCTGGATATGGTAAGCAGGAGCCCTGTGCATGCTAGGGAGAAAGGCAGCTGGAGTGGTGGTCCTTTAGCAGGAAAGTTGGGGGGTGGGGGGGGGAAGCAGGGGAAACCTCAAAGGAATGGTCTCTTTCCTGGTTGTGGAAGCTGCTACAGCTTTCAACTCAGTGAGCTAATTTTAAATTGTCCTTTGTGCGTGCATAGATTAGAAGCAGATTTATTCTTTCCCTTAAGAAAAACCAAAGGTAAGGTATTCCCAGTGACCCACAGAGAATCGGAGCACGAGCTGTGCACTTTCTGGATCCCCCAAACACCGCATAAACGTGCAGTGCCAGATACCTTGTGTAATTTCCTCCAGGCTCTACTGCTCCAAAACCTGCACCTATCACAGGCCCTTCCAGTCGTCCACCGTGGGCTGTGGATCCTTCCTTCGCTGAGCGATATGCACCAGATAAAACTAGCACTGTGCTGAGCACGCACAGCCAGCCGGCCACCCCAACGCCTGTGCAGAACCGCAACTCTATTGTCCAGGCTGCACAGCAAGCCCCGGAGAGTGCCAGCAAAACGCCCGTCTGCTATCAGTGCAACAAAATCATCAGGTAAGCCAGTGAGGTGTTCTTTTTTTGTCTAGGGTGGGGAACTCATTGTGGTCTCCCTCCGCTGCTGTATTATAGCTCCAGCAACCCAGCCAACATGGCCAGCAGTTTAGAAATGCTGTCGGTTGTACTTTAGCAACATCTTGCGGGGCCCCTGCTATTCCTCTCTTTTCTCCCTCATTACTTGATTGAGGAGACAAATGTATGAATTGCCTTTGCTAATGAGGATTGAATATGTGTGAAGTGAACAGGAGTCTCAGAAGGGTGCTTTTTGGCTTCCTGCAATGGGCGTAATGCAGGCTGGTGGGAGAGAGAGCCTGCCTTTCCAACCGAAGAGATTTCCTGCACCAATCCCCCGCTCACCCTTTCTCTTTGCTTTCCAACAGGGGGCGCTACCTGATGGCTCTGGGACGCTACTATCACCCAGAAGAGTTCACCTGCTCACAATGCAGGAAGGTGCTTGATGAGGGTGGCTTTTTTGAAGAAAAGGGCTCCATCTTTTGCCCCAAGTGTTACGACATGCGCTACGCCCCCAATTGTGCCAAGTGCAAGAAGAAGATTACAGGGGTAAGTTCAGGTGAAACGTGGCCTTCAGGGTAGCAGGTTACAGCCTCGGGTATATTGGAAGTTAGGAACATTGAGGAAAGCCTGGTTGACTTTTAACCCTCTAGCTGTTCCTGACTTAAAGTTCTCCTCCTTCCAGTTTTTTAACCGGTCTGGCTAAGCCAAGGAGAGCTGAAGCCCAGAAACAGCTAGGGCAGTGATGGCTAACGTTTTCTTCCATCACGTGCTGAAGGGTGGTTCATGCCTTAGGAGATAGTAATATGCTTGTTTCATCAAGGGCCTCATTCAGACCTGGAATAGAAGTGGGTGCTGATGGGTTGAAGATTAAGAGCTATAAGCTAGAACTTCCTGGTCTGTCTTTCTCCAGGAATGTTTATCCATCTCCTGTCTACTCCAGCCTCTTCCTTCTCCAGATTCTTAATGTGAGCACATCCTGGCCAAAGATTATCAAGATGATGGCTGTACACCATGTTCAATGCTAAGGGCTCCATAAAGCCCTCCCCCCCCCCCCCTAATTATCTTGTCATATTGGCCAAGAAAATGCATCCATTCAGTGGAGTGACTCACATTCCTGTATTGCTTTAGGAGATTATGCATGCTCTGAAGATGACCTGGCATGTCCAGTGCTTTGTCTGTGCTGCCTGCAGAACACCCATCCGCAATCGTGCTTTCTACATAGAAGAGGGGCAGCCCTACTGTGAGAGAGGTACTGCATACCGAATAATTGAGGGATGGCTCCGGGTTTCAAGCTTTCTGAAAGCCCTTAGCTGCTGTTCCAGCCTGATGAGATGGAATGTATCCTGATTGGTCCCGGTAGCATCAGAGTTCCTTGTACCAAAAAGGAAAGCCTTGAGCAAAACATCCATCATGCAATGTATTGCTAGCCCTGGATTTTCTACCCCGGGCAGCAGGAAGAATTTGCAAAATAAAATACTTGCTGTGCAATTTTCCTCTGCCTCCGGTTTGATCACCTTTTGTTGATGGTTGCTGGGCAGTTCCAGTTCTGCTAGGTTACTATGGAGATGGTATATTAGTACCTGCATCACATAGAATGCCAACAAGCATGCTGGGAATTGTTGTTCCTCCCCCCCCTCCTTTCATTCCGGGTCTGAACAATACTCCTCTGGAATATTCCATTAGGAAATTGCGGGGGGGGGGGGGGGGAAGAGGGATGTGATTTCACTAACGAAATAGTGGACAGATCTGGTATTCTCCCAGATGAACAAGCAGCTGCCTTTCATCAGAAAACGGGTGGGGACGGTGCACAGGGTTCTTAACAGCATGTGTGTAGCCTTGCTGGACTCGAGCGTGAGGATTGTCAGCCATCTCTAGCCCAACAAGCAGCAGCACAGTTGTGTCAGGCCGTAAGCTTAGCTTAATAACAGCAGAGAGATGGAGCTGAGGGTTGCGGGGGAGGTCAGAAGGAAACCCAGAACAGAAATAGAAGATTTGTAGATCGGACGAAAAGATGTTAAGTAAAGCTGGTGGTGTACTTGAGGCTCTCAGCCCCTGGAAAGTTAACCCTGAACAATAAACCATGGGATCCCTCAATTATTTTTAAGAGTTGCTGTGTTAATAACAGATTAGAAAAGCAGTGGCAGAAGATCCTGGGATGAATTTTCAGAATCTCCCCTAGGCTGAGAAGGACTCCCAGTCAGGAACCATGGAGAGTTTTGATGCTCAAGCAAAATAAAAGTTATAATATATGGGTGCTGTGGGGAGGCCTGGCCTTCCCACCAAGCCATCTTCTACTCCATAGGAAATGCATGTTATGCAAGCAAAGCCCCTTTTTCCCCAAAGTGTATACAATACAGTATTGTGTTTGAAAATGCTGGCTCAGGAATAACGTCGTTTCTCCCCTTTGTGCAAGATTATGACAAGATGTTTGGGACTAAGTGCCGTGGCTGTGATTTCAAAATAGACGCTGGCGATCGTTTCCTTGAGGCCCTGGGCTTCAGCTGGCACGACACTTGCTTTGTTTGTGCGGTAAGACAGTTCCTTCCCTCTTTCCCTCTCTCTCTCTCGAGTTTTCTTATTCTACTTTCTTTTGCTGCACTTCAGGGAAATGCATTATAAAATAATTGCAGGCTGTTATTCCCAGCCAGGGGCAGGACTGGCTGGCATAAGATGTGCTTCCTTCTTCCTGTGCATTGAGGTTGGAGCTACTGGATGGTGCCTACGCAGGCCCTTTTCTCACTTGCTTTGTCACTTGCAGCATTGAAGGTCTCCTGCTGGTGCAATAGAACGGAGAGCCAATGTGGCATAGCAGTTGAGATGTTGGATCAACAGAGAGACCCTTTCAAAGCTTGCCATAGCCACGGGAAGTCACTGAATGGTGTAGAGCCAGCCTACCTTGCAGGGTTGCTGTTGCAGAGCTCCTGGAGGAAATGAAGACATATCAGATATAATTAATGTTGGGGGGGGGGCAACTGCGATGTGCATTGAGGGTGGCAGTAGGCAGGATTTGTCAGGCTGATTTTCCTCACTTCTGTCATCTATCCAGGCCTTTATTAGTGGGGGGGGAGGGGGAACTGATGCGAACCTCACGGAGAACATCTTTTTTCCCCTACAGATCTGCCAGATCAATTTGGAAGGAAAGACATTCTATTCCAAAAAGGACAAGCCGCTGTGCAAGAGCCATGCTTTCTCCCACGTGTGAGACAGAGGAGACCTTATGTGCTCAAGCTGCTGCCTGCCCCAAAACTCTGCCCATCCTTCTTTTCCTGTCCTGAGAGAGCCCCCAGACCAAAGGTCTCACTTGACCATTTTTCCCCATAGAGGGAAAAGGGTAAAACGCTCAGGGTCCTTTTCGGGAGGTTTACAACGGTTGTATTTTTTTTTTTTTACCTAAACTGGTGTTCTTCCTATGTATTTGGCTTTTATCTTTTGCAGACTCCATCCAACTTGAAATTGCTAGACATTTGGGGAGTTGAAGTCCAGGACTTCTAGAGGACACCAGCTTAGGGATACTGTAGAGTTCTTGTGCCTATTTCAGCCAAAGAAGTTTCTCCCGAGTAAAGGATCCCAAATGATACAGCATGCTTCAAATGAAGCATCAGCTGGCCTTCCCTTGAAGTCCTTAACTCAGTGAAAACTTGCTATTAAAGCTCCAGGGGAAAGTGGGGGAAGGCAAGTTTTTCCCCAGAGTTTACTAGCATTACTTTCTGTCCCCTTTGCAATGTAATTACCAACAATCCTCTGCCCTGCCTTCTCTGACAAAGCATTTGCAGAGGGCTTCTGTAATCAGGTTGGCTCTGCCTTTTGCCCATTGGCATGTATTTCCCGCTATGTTGCTCAGTGAAATTGCTTCCCCCACCCCCCCCAAAAAGCCCCAATCTCTTTTCCTCCTAACCACTTGCTAGTAACCAAAATATGAGACCCCTACCACAGAAAATGAGTGGCTTATCTAAAGAATTGTGTTGTAAGTTTCCACAGATCAAGAAAAGCCTCACTTCAAAGTACCATACAGGAAAGAAGAGTTTCAAAATCTAGCTTCTTCACACCAGCAAAAACTGCTTCTCCATCATGAGATGAACTTGAGATTCTATACCTAGGAACACAACTTTATATATACTGTAGTACACAGCTTCTGAGGTCAGGGGCAGCCCCAAAGCACCCCTACCAAAGACCTACTATTTGTGTTTTGCTCTAAATGTATTTCTCAGAACTGTGCTGTTCAGCTAGGAGTCTGTGATTCCTGGCCACCTTTGATACCCTAATAAAATATGTCTTTTAAGTCTTCCTCTTGTGGGCTCTAGTTGTTTAGGAGTTCCTACTAATACTTAGAACATTGGAAGTAGAGAAATCAGATGCAAACGATGAACATTCAAAGCACACTGCTGTTACCTTCTGTTCCTTGTCCTCTAATTATACTTGGAGGAAATTTCAAAAGAGAGTAACTACTATTGCTGCAACTCAGAACCACATATTTTATTTTGAAAAGTGGCAACTAGCAAGCATCTTTTCATGCAATGATGGTATTTTAGTTCATAAACTGCTGGGAATAATTCCATCATAAGGAAGTGGCCTGATCTGGAACAAGGTGGACAGAATACTTTTACTATCGTAACTAGACAGATCGTTTCTCTTCTGGTAATAGTTCAGTGAAAAATAATCAGTCTTGGAGAGTGAGGAAACACCCCCCCCCCTCAAGTCTGTTTAGTGCAAAGGCTGGCCACATAAAAAATAATGGGGGAAGAGCCACAGTGGGATCAAAAGAAGGAAGATACTAGAGTCAGCAAAATGTGCTAATATTGCTTGGTCAAAAGTTTATAATGGATTCCTAGGAACATGACACCTGCTGAGGTATCATATACTTCATATACTTTGGTTGGAGATGAGGAAAGCTTCTCTTTTTGCTCCATTCCCCCATTGTAAATTCTTCTATTTGTAAGTTATTTATCCTTTTTAATGAATCATTGCATTATGCTTCATAACCTGGAGAAGTGTATTCTGCACTTCCGTGCTTAAGAGATATAGCCTGCTGTGATTGTTTCAGTTTTGGTGTCTGCTTTGGGTGTCATTTTGTTGTTGGATGTTACCTTTGTGCCTTTGATGATTATTGATCCTATTTTTTTTATGAAAGATTTATTGTAATGAGGTAACTTTTCAACGGAGCACATTTTTTGAAGGAAGCAAAGCCTCATCAAAAGCACCCACTAGATCAATGCCTTGAGGTCATTTTTTCAAGGAAAGTTGATCTATAAGAAGACTGTAAGATAGATGATAACAAGAGCTTAGCACACATGGAAACTATGTTAAACTCAATCAGTCATAATTGTTGCTAAGGAGTAAACGCCACCTCAAATTGAATTTGACTCCTGGGGGTGATATGGACATATTTTTGGAGCAGCAATATACAGGAGTTGTTTGCCGTTACCATCTCCTAGGATATTTTTCAACTTCCATGATATTTCGTGCAGGTTTCCCCCCCCCCCCCCAAATCAAATACTAACTAGATCAGCCTTTACTAGTAGTATTTTGGGTTTATAAATATTTCTGAATATAGTAGTTTGGCAGACCCTGGTTCTGGAGGTTTTTGTACTTGTTTTATTGGTGGTGGGAGGAGGCACAGAGATTTGCTTGTTGGGTTTTGGAAAGCACAGATGGAGCAAGTGGGAATGTCAAGCAGGGACAATTAGTTTCCCCCCTACTCTTCACCTTGTCCAGGTCGTCTTTACAGCTGCTCAGTTGGATTGCATTGCCACTAGAAACCACATGGGCTTTAGCTGAAGAAGCCAGGTGACCAGAAAAGAAATGCAGGGCCCAGGGAGAGAAATCCATCCACTTGATGGATTTTGCAAGGTGCCATGACAGCCCAGCTGCCACCCACTCATTATGGGAAGGAGCCTTTGTCTGACTTCACAGTCCCAGAAAATGACCTGGACAAGCTAAAACAGGAGGCAGACGTCTTTCAAACAGGGAGACATCTAATGCCTATGAGAAGTGCTGAAGAGTGATAGGAAGAAAAAAAAAATCTGGTAGGGGGTAAGCATCCCGCACTTTTCCAAATGCAGCAAGCAGTGATCAACTTTTACAAAAGAACATGGTAGGGATCTGTCATTTGGAGAGAGAGAAAGAAAAAACAACAGGCAGCTGCTCTTGTCTGTATTGATAGAATTGTTCTGGTGTAAATCATCCGGCTTCCCTGCTCAAATCTTTTCCCAGCCTGATGATATCCAGATGTGCAGGAGATGATTACCACCATTCACACAGCCCTGGTGCACGATGGGCTTTGCAACGGGAAACACCCCCACAAAGTGCAAGGCTGGAGAAGTTTCCAGTTTTCCTTAAGTGTTTATACTGTACACTCCTGTGATCTGGACCAGAAAATGCAGTTTGGAAGAGGTTACCCGGTCAGTTTCTTTCTGGCCGGCAATTGTGGGATACATCATAACCAGAAAGTTGTTTTATACAAAACAGCCCATTAGTGCCTGTGCAGAGTGCCGCTCCTGGGTGAAGCTCTCTCTCTTGTGTACCGTTCCCGAGCGGCTGCGCGTAAGGAACAGCAGATCTGTTGGGATCGCCCAACTCCTACGCCCCAAACTTAACACCTGAAGGCAGGCCGGGTGGGAAGGGCAAGGCAGGTTCTTTCTTTCTCGTGCCGGCCGGACTCTTTTGGCCAAGGCTTTCAAAGGCTGCAAGATGGCTGATTCCGCGCACCCACGTGTGGAGAAACCGGGAGGCGGCGGTTTCTGGTGCTGAAGAGACGGGGCAGGGGCGGGCGGGGGAGCCCGCGATCCCGGCGCTAGGACCCAGCGCGCGCACAGGCGGAGCCTCTGCTCCTCGCCCGCCCGGCTCCCTCTCCGCTGCTGCAGTGTCTCCGAGGCAAGCAGGCAAGGCGGCCTGTCTTAATCCGAGCGCGGCTCCGGCACTGCTCTCCGCTCCCCGAAAGCAGCATCCTTCCGTCGCCGCCGGCATGGCGGGCGTGAGCTTCAGCGTGAACCGCCTGGAGCTGCTGGCCTCCTATCAGGAGGTGATCGGGGAAGACAGCCCGACGGACTGGTAAGCCCCCCGCCCGGTGAGCGGGCGATCCAGCTCTTTGTCCCCTCGGTGGGGAGGGGGCGGTGGCTCCAGCCGCTTTGTACAGGGGGGCGTGGGCGGTGTCTGCCTTGCCTGCCTGCCTTTCTCTGGGAAATCGCCCTCCCGCTCCTTCCCTGCACGCTCCCCGTTTAGCCCCGGAGGATGATCAAGGGAATTCCGCGCCTCCCACCGGCAAGATGCTCCTGGAACGTGGGACGGGCGGGCGCCGCCGGAGGAAGAAGCCATTAGCAACCCCAAAGTGGTGCATTGGCAACGCCGCTTGCCGGGCGAGGTGGGGCGACGGCTCCTTTTTTTGTGGGATACAAGGAGGGCACTGGCTGAAGATGCTCCGACGGTCTTTTGTAGTCGGAGCGGAGCTGAAAAAGACGCCCCGAAACGGCAGCGCCCCGTTTGGCCAACCCGGGAAGCCCCCGCTTGCCATTGAAGCCTCGAAGGCACGTCCTAGCAGCTGCGCCCGTGGCCGGACGCCCCCCTTCCCGGCACTTTGTCTCGGGCTCGGCGGGGGCGGATCCCCTTCGCTCTTTCCACCTGCTCTGCCGCCTGCGCCGGGCTGTCGTGAGCCTCGCGGCCGTAGCCCCGCACATCACAGCCCCAGGCCGTCATCTTGGAAGGTTGCCCCCTGCTGCGGTCATCCTAGAGCCCTTCGTGGCCTTACCTGCCACTCTTCCCTCCCCCCTCGTTTTTTTTTTTTTTTTGGGTGGGTGGGTAAAAGTTCTCCGATAGGGACCCGCTACACAAAGGAAGGTGGGGCCGGGCAAGGAGAGAGGCGGGGGTCTGAAGGCTTGAGGGGAGGGGCTGGTGGACTGGGAGGAGGGGGAGGAGGAGGAGGGTCTGTGAGAGGAGTAAAGGGAGGCATCCAGAACTAGGTATCTCAATTCTCAAGAATTGCTCAGCCCCAAACTGTAGCAGCCTTTCATCCTAGCTGCTGAGGCCTGCAAGAGAGCGGATTTTGTGTGTTTTAGGCCTTTTCTTCTCTGTGGAAGAGGAAACCTGTGTGAATTTGTGTAGCCATGGCGTACCATTCAAAGGCCTTCAGAGGCGTTGGTCAAGAGCCTTGAGGCTACTCCTTCCCAGAGCAACCTTGATTTGAAGGCTGCCTGTGGAAGCCGTCTCCTTACAAAGACACAACACAGATGGCATCTGCTCCATTTTTGCAGTCCCCCCTCCCACCCACCCAAGGTTGGAGTAAGGCAGGCTTTGATAATGAGACTTGCTAATTCATATTTCCAGCTAATAGGTATTCACATCTCTGAAGCAGAAGGAACCTTCCCTTTGTATCTCATTAATCATTTCCAGAAATTTAAAGCAACTTTTGTTTCAGAGGTCACTGACTATTATTCCCAGGCAGTTTAGTATGTGTACTTTCTAAGGTGTAGACTTGACTGGAGAAGTTGTGATAGTTCCCTAAACCAAGGTACCAATACTGCATTTTGCCTGAAATTATAGAACAGTTAATCTGGTACCTATTATGCAGTAAAAAGTCTTTTAGTCTTTAAAGCAGTGGTGGCCTATATCCTCTATGAGTGTTTTGAATAGATCTCTCCTTTTCAGCATCAGTTCCCTACTGGTGAAATCCAGCATTTACTCTTCTTACTCTTTTATTTAGATAAGTAATTTAAGTAACAATAGAAAACATGTTTTACTCTACATGTGTGACATACGTGACTGCTGATGACTGGATTATATCCACTTCATGATATTTTCTAAGGAACCTCTGTGGACTTAGTTTTATTTATTTTTAATAATTTACACAATCCTGCATTTGTTTTCATCCCGGCATTTTCCTATCTGGATGCCCTCCAGATGTACTGCTATTACCTTCTGATTCCCATGCTGGTGGGTGATGGTTGGGAAAGATGATAGAACAGTACTTATTTCAATATAAGTGGCTAAAGTTCTAAGTATCCAATGAGGCTTTATTTACCTTGCATATGGACCCTCACATTTTCAATGTTTGTTTTGTTTTAATGCAGGGTTTCCCCTTTCTGAAACACCTCCTGAGCCTTCTACATCTCCTCCTCCCTATCTGCCAGGAAGGCTGTTCTCTCTGTGTCATTGCTGGGGTTCTCTTTCCTCACTCCGATTGCTTGGAGGCTCTTGTGCACCCAGACGGTCTAACTTTAGCAAGAGCGTCATGCATACTGTGATAAAAAGTAAAATCTCCACATTGAACTTGACCCCTAGTGATTTTACAGATAGCTCTATGTACAGTGTTTATGGCAACAGCAATGATGTAGTTTGCCATTGCCTTCTTCCTGGGTGGGTTTTCTTTTCATTTTTTACTCCCCAGTTTAGCCTCCAGCTCTCATAACTCTAGATAGCTTTCTATCCAAACTCTTAACTTGCTTGGTTTCCAAACCTAGAGAGAGCAGCCAGCAAGTTGCCACCAACATTTTTTACTTCCTCCTTCCAAAGACATGTGCCATTACGTAAGATGGCGCCTTTCGTTTCTTTGGTCTTCTTGTCATGACGTGACTTCTGGTTCCGAAGTTGAAGTCAACCCTGTTCTGTGCTTTGAACTTGATCTGCCCCTATTTCTCCTCATCTACTACAATGTCTTTGAAGCTGCCCATATCATCGGCACATTGATTGCAGAAGGGCAGCTACTTCTTGTCATCCCCTGCTGAGCCATGAGTTTCATACTCATTCCTGGAGAGGAAGATGGTAGACATGGCTTTCTGGGGATATTCAAAGCCTTCATCTGCTTTACTTTTCCCCCCAACCTATTAGTTTCCTTCCCCTTTTAGTATGCTTATTTTTCTCCCTACCATATGCACACACACACATACCATGTGCTTAATAGGGGGAGGTCTTCTTTCTTTGAAGCTCACTCTTCTTCTCTTTCCTCCACAGCAGAAGGTCTCCAGCTGTTCTTTTGCCTACTTCCTTCTCTTTCAAAGCCCAAGCACTTCGAGACCCTCCTCCCTGGCTCCAACTTGGAAGCTAGGGCCTCATGGACTGCGTAGCCGGAGACGCTGCCTATAAATCATTGTACATCCACTTGCTAACAATAAAGAGGCAGCTGGAAGAGCATATATAGTATGAGTAGGGTTTGTGGTAGGAAGTGGGGAAACAACAATGGGAAATGATCACAGCATTGTCTGGATGAAAGAAATTCTGTGCTCAGAAAAGCAAGTTTGCTGCAAAATGAGTTAAAAGCAAGCAAAGACTATATAATATATCAAATACAATCATTCTTTTGTTCTGTTCCCACTATCAGAAATTAAGCTGTCAGCTTTTTAGGATAGTGGCCTGTCATTTCCTCTTCCCACATGCTGTAAAACTCTGAAATTAATAATACTGCCTAAGTAGAAATACTAATTGGGAGAGTTCAAGAAGGAACAAATTACATTCATGGGATCTACCATGAAAAAGCCATATCTCTGGATGAGTAGGCCGTTTGGGGAAGTGGGTGGGGGTGAAGGTAACAGTGATCAACATGAAACTGCAGTCAACAGCTTAGGAGCAGGTAAAGGGATCAACGTGGAAGAAAATCCCCTGAATCAAAGATAGGGTCATACCTGAAGCATAAATTTCTATAAAATTGGGCAGTGTTGCAACAATATTCATGGATTTGCTCCTAAGGAAAAACCCCTTTTTTAAAAAGAGAGCACAAAAGACACCCACCCATAAGAGAAACAGTGCTTCTGTTTTTTAAAGACAAGACTCACGTGATTTTGATCTCTCCCAACAATGTGGTGTGTGGCTAGATTTTGTAGGGAGAAGTCCATCTTGAAGTCAGTCAAGATTTGGTGGCTAGGCGGTTAGTTTACTGGCTTTTGTGACTTGACATACTTAAGCTCTTTCTCAAGCTTCTTGAAATTAGATTCCTGGGTCTTTATAATAAGCAGGCAGGCAAATAGTGCATGTTAAATCAGAATTTAAAATCCTGTCATGACATTAATTCTGCCTTGTAAATCAGTTTTTGAAAATGGCATTAGCTATCAAGTAAACCCCTCGCTGAGCTTTCAGAGATGCTTTCAATTATACCAGTGCCCTGTGAGTTGGTCAAAATTTAACTAAAGATATCTGCTGCTAACCAGCCTCCCTTCTCGAGTCCCATTTATCCAGCTACCACCCTCCTTTTTGAGGCTAGAGTAAGAATATTAAAATTTCTGTTAATTTGCCGTTGGATCCTGGGATTGCTATCCTTGCAAGTTTCCAAGTTTTTATTACCATTTGTATTTGCACTGTTGTACTAGCCATCTTCCTTTTCCAGCTTTAGGCCATTTTATCTCCCATCTTCCAAAGAGCTTGGGGTGGCATTTTATACTCATAATAACCATATGAATTAACAAAATCGATCACATACGTCAATGGTCTTATAAAAATCTTAATTGTGCAGGGATCTGAACCTGGGAATCTCCTGGCCTAAAATGATCTTAGTGCCATACCCCATTTTTGGCTCTTCTTTCTTTCTCCATTTGCATTAGTTTTCCATTCATGCTGCTATCCAGGCCCTGAGATCTCTCCCCTGTTGGCTGGCCTTCCTTTGTCCTCTTGAAGCATTTTCATCCAGCTTGCTCTCCAAGGCTGCTGGGAGGAACAGCCCCTTCTCCTTTTATCCAATGGTGCAACAGAAAGTTTTTTTTCCCTCTTGCAACATGCCGCTTCCTCTAGCAATTTTTAAAGCCTTTCCCTTTTGGAACCCAACATTGGACTCTGCCCAGATTTTCTGGGCTGAGTCTCATCTAGTGTCACTCTAGTGGTGAAGCAGAGAAGGGATGATATCAGTGAAGCTGACAACATGTAGCTAAAGAATCCTGACCTGTGGTAGCTGCAGATTTGGGGTAGACAATGGGGTTGTGAAGTATGATGGAATTATGGAGGCTGGGTTGGCTTTGAACGAATTTGGTAAGGTGGGAAAACATGGCTCAGCAAAATTGGGTGTGTCTATAGGGTTCTCAATGGGAAGGGTCAGTTTTAGAGAAAATGAAGACCAGAATTTCCTTTGGTTTTGA